ATCTATTATGAGCTGCTAAAACCTGGCGAAACCGTTAATACTGAACGCTACCGACAACAAATGATCAATTTGAATCAAGCTTTGCATGAAAAACGACCGGAATATCAAAAAAGGCAACGCAAAGTGAATTTGCTTCATGATAATGCACCATCACACACAGCAAAACTGGTCAAGGAAACGATTGAGACGTTTGGTTGGGAAATACTCTCGCATGCGGCTTACTCACCAGACTTGGCTCTGTCCGATTACTACTTATTTGTATCGATGGGACACGCACTTGCTCAGCAGCGCTTCACTTCTTACGAAGATGTATGAAAATGGCTAGATGACTGGTTTGGCTCAAAAGAGCAACAATTTTTTTGGCGTGGCATCCACAAATTATCAGACAGGTGAGAAAAATGTATAGCTAGCGATGAGCAATACTTCGAATAAAATATTTTTTATCATTTTCATGCAATAAACGTGTATTTTCTATTAAAAAATTCCGGTTTCATATTTACATATCTGGTACGAGCATCACGAATGCCAGTTCGGTACCAGATATTGAAAGAAAGGACAGAATCAATAATTATCAGAGGAATTTTTAACTGAAAAACCATTTTGTGATACTGACGTTAGACACTATTCGGAAGAATTCACAAAAGTTTTTAACAAAAAAGTTAGTGTGATATTTTATAACAATTTATACATATACGGGTGACCCATTTTAACTTAGACAGCCAAATAACTCGAAACATCGCGATTAAATAAAAAAATGTTTAAAACAAAAATTGTTGGATATGAAGAGGCTGATTGAACTATGACCTTGACAATGACCTTGTCCTTCATTTTCAAGGTCATTTGAAGGTCAAGGTCATTTTTTTAAATGGGAAGCCCCATTTTTCGTTGAATATTCTTGTAGCTTATCTCGAGAACTTTCCAAAACACTATAATAAAATATTTTTTCATTAAGTACTTCTCGAGTTATAAGGCTCGAATGTTACAGTACCGCCGCCGACATTAGCATTACGCAAGGTATCCGACCGATGGCTAAAACCTTTTGAATGTTGTTCAGGATCATATCCTAGATAACATTCGTTAAGATCAAGGTTATTGGAGCTTGAGCTAATGCTAATGTCGGCGGGGGGACTGTAACATTCGAGCCTTATAACTCGAGAAGTACTTAATGAAAAAA